TAAGGTATCTTTAATATTCTTTGTGAGATATTTTAAAACGTTTTTTGAAGAACACTTTAACAATATTTTAAAGTTGTTTTGTACGACAATTTTACACATTTTTCTCATTAGGTAACTAAAAAAATTATTACAAAAATTGCCAAATAGTAGAAAATTTTTCTATTCAGATTTTATTAGAAATAACACTTTATGATTAATGGGAGTTGTTTGAAATACACTCTGTATGTATATCTTTATTAAAATATTAGTTTTATTATATTATACATATATTTATGTGTATTTGTGTGTGCGTGTGTGATTACGGGCGTACATACGTGCATGAGTGCAGGCGTGCGTGCATGCGCGTGTACACATGTAAGCTTAAACAGGCATCATTTATTCAACTTTTCCTATAAAAATCATTTTCATTTTAACGTTACAACGTTTTTACAACATTTCTGAAATATTTCGAAACGTTTCCTGCTAAGATCATAGTCTTTAATAATTTTAAAACGTTCCACGGTAAGAAAAGTCCGGGCAGTGCGAACATGTTAAGATCGAGATGAAAAAAATGACACAATTAAAATTGAGATCAGAAAAATCATTATTATTCTCATAAATCTCTTAGAGGACTTAACTTTGAAATATAATTTGTTTTCTTATTCAAAAGACGTAAATAATATTATCATGTACCATCGTATAATATACCCAAATACTTCATATATAATTACAAATTTCAAATATTTTATTTCTTTAACAGAATTTTGTTACATTTTATCTCAACACACAGATTCGCACAGAGCGCTTCGAATTCTATGGATTGTATTAGGATGAGTCTTTCCGATTCAGACTTTAAAGAATATACATATAAAATTATCTAATTTGGATGACGATTTATTTTTCGTTGATATCTTCGACCTCCTTGAACAAGAATAATTGATTATTATGTATTAAATATAGTGATTATATATAAAACATGTACATTTATTGTCAACTGAATCGACAGTTTCGCTACTAAATTAATCTTACGCAAATTTAAGCTTTTCCTACTTCTGCAAATCTCAAATTTTGTATGGCGCATAATGTAAGGTAATGTAAGGTATTATTTTGAGCGTTTTTTGTAATCTCAAGTTATTTTAATGATTTAATTTATTTCCATTCTTAATAATTTAAAAATGTCGGAATTTTATTTTTTTTAATTTGTAAAAAACATATCTTGTTTTATCAATAAAGTTTTAACAATAAATTTACGCTGATTTAAGTAGTTAGAGCACTTCTACATATATATTTTACTCAATAATTGTTCCAGTCGCTGCTGTATAGTGTTACTATATATCTCATCAGTAACCATATGATGTAACATGCGTAATAAAACTGGAGCTACAATACATTGTACAATAAAACACCAATTAACATTTAAAGTAGATACGTTTAAAGTACATATAAAATTGAGATCCAATGTAATATATAATAACTTTACATACGTATAAATATGTATTGTGCAAAAAGAAGATTTTATTTCCTTTAGTCTTCTCTTTTATCTTTTGTGTGTATACACATTTTGTGTATACGTTGAGAAGTTTGCGAATAATATAATTTTATTGTGCATATTTTGTAATTTTACCTTTTCCATAAAGTTCTGTAGAATACTGCGACTTATCATCAAAGGTATTGTTCAGTACCAATGTGACAGAGTTCAATGAGCCAACATCTACCATCAAACAAGTCTGTAAAGTCCAAATCACAAAAAGATCCATCATTCGCCAACCTTCAAAAATCTAAAGAAGAAAATGCTTTGATGTGACTCAATATATAAAATTTGAAGAAAGTTTTTGCATTAGAAATTAAAATAATCGTTTGTCATCACTTCAACTTCGTTATTTTGCTTTTTCATAATATCTACAAATTTTATTATCATTTTCATGTTAAATTGTCTTCAAGATAAGTATATTTAATTATTTCTGAAAATGTTGGAAATTACTCAATATAAAAATATATTCAAGATATAAAAACCTACAATGTTGAATTTTATTATTTTATTAAATTATTTTATTAAATGTTGATTGCGATAGAAAGTACAATTTTCTAATTAAACTATTGCATTATTCTTACTATTCCTATATACGATAATATTTAAATATAAAAAATTAAAATAGAAGATCTTTAATATAATAAATATAAAAAACAGTACATATTAACTCTAGCAATACGCACTGGGATTCCATAAACTTCAATACAATTTGCTAAATCAAGATTTTTTCGTGTTTTTGAGTTTTTCTTTTTTTTTTTGGAACTTATGTATCTCGAAGCTTCTTAATTCTATCGAATTTTGCACATTACGGAGATTTGTTTCTTAATTAATTCTCCATCGATTGAAAAAAAAGTTAATTGAAATGTATAGTATAGTGCCTTTATATCTAATTATTTGTTATAACTATTATAAATAGTTACCATTTTTATAGAATTCTAATTAAATAACAAGTTATTATGTATTCAGTATCATCTTGATATTTGTTATAAAAATATTATTTTTATATTGACATTAACTTACTCTTAATTTAAAATATATTTCAAGTTCTTTATTTTGCAATAATTAAGCCATCTTTTATTATATGTATATAT